TACCAATGAGATATAGGAGGTCAATACACAATCCTTGAAGCCACTCCAGCTCAACAATGTTAATAACTTTGTTACAATTATTAATGGCTTGGGGTGGTGGGACTTCGGGGCACGAATATGTCAAATTTGTGTATTTGTTGTGTGGCGCTGCTAAAATACGTTATAAACTTGAGTGCAGCGCCACACTGCCCTTGTTTTGTTTTGATGTTTTGACGAATAAAAAAAAAACAAATGAATAAACTTGACTTTTAAATAAGACATCCTAAGGAAATTGATTTTGCAACATTTTGTTCTAGTCTTAGGGACTGTGACAAATATAATAAAGCAGGTCTGGCGAGATGAGGGCTAATAAAATAAGGAGTACAATCATAATACATACCTGTAGATAGCTGACAGATGAATGACCGGGCGTTCTGGCAGGGTGCATCATTCCATAGCGCACCACGCATTTCGCCACAGTCTTCGCCACCACCAAAATCGTTCGGCTCACCGGGGCCCCAGTTGGTATAGCTGGTAGACGACAGGGTTTCACCGTCTTCAAATATCCACTGCCCTTCGACCGTGGCGTCAGTCAAACCAATCCAACGATGTTGATTTCCACCTCCTGCCAGATTGTAGATGAAAGTGTTGATGGCGTCATTCTTCGGCACGGCTAGCAGTCCCCCGTCTGCCGCACACGTCTGTCTAGCCTCAGCGTACGTCTTCGGGTAAGGAAAGGCCTTGTAGCAAACTCCATTAAAACTGCCGTAGCCTGCTATTGGACACGCTGTGGGAAAGGAAACATGTGCTGTGGCTTGATAAAAATGTTTCTGCCATTCACCCAAAACTTTTGTCATGATAACTTCTTAAGCTGCATTGCATTTGGAAAAGAATTGTAAACCCAGAGCAAGATAAAATAAGAATTCAGTGACCTTATACCTACCTATAATACTTAAAGCGTTTTTAATTGCCTCATGGTAATGTGATGAAAACGTTTAGCACAACAAGAGATGATTTTGCAGATCATCTCTGCATTAACCTTATATAAATTCGAGGACCTTCGTTGTGTCTTCTACCAGAATGTTATCTATATCTATTGGTGATGACTTTACATTTTTATATGGCTGTAATTATAGTGATAGAAAGACATTGTTAACGCATACAGTTCAAAGAAAGAACAGAATAATATTTTCATTACCTGGTATATAAGCCTCTACAACAGTTGGACCAGCACCTCTTGCGCTCTTTTTTTCCACGAACCAAGATGGTTTTGCTCCCTTCTGAGTAATCATGGCATATGACTCCCTGTACCCTGTATCATGGGATACATTCAATCTTTCAAATACACGACTATCAACTAACGCTACAAAATATGAGTACAGAAAATCTGGCTTACCAACACCGCATAACGTTAACAGTGTATAAAATGTTGAATTGATATTCAACCAAGGATTAAGGTGTTCAAAAACTCATTTTGCTAGAAATATTATAGAGTGGAACTCGCTGCCATCAAGAACAGTCGGGTGATGAAAGACAAATACAAAATAATTTATCCAAAGACGTCACAATACTGTTGCTGACTCAGTCAGAATTACAGTTTCCTTTACCTTGATTTGTGTAATCTTCTCCAATCGTACCAAAAAAAAAAATGTACCTGAAGTGAGAATGATGTTTAGTCTTACATAGCTCTAAAGTAATGCTTTGTTTTAGATAAGAGATTAAAAGGAGATTACCTAGTGCAGCAGTTGTAATAATTGTAGAACCGTACGGAGCTAGGTTGACTTGTGCGGCGGAGCTGCTGTCATGAACAACGATAGCTAGGATCCGTCCCTGCAGTGATATAGGAGCAAATATGAAAGAGATATGAGGGCCAATAGCAAGAAATATAACATGCCGGAACTTCATCTAAGCTAATGTTTAATTAAGACATCAACTAATCCAAAGGTCGTAAAGGTTATTGAGCTAAGTATACTATTACGTCTATGTTCCCAAACCCAATGCACTTGCCAACAGGAAAACAAACTGCAAGCTGTGCAAGCGATTTTTAACAATTTATTTTGAAAAAGAAGGCATACAGAGTTAAGTTAGTTAATCATTACTACTAACTGCCTTCGCCAGAAAAGTTCTGCTTTCGGTAGTGTGTGTTTGTGTGTGTGTGCGTGTGTGTGCGTGTGTGTGCGTGTGTGTGTGTGTGTGTGTGCATGCGTGCGTTTGTGTGCGTGCGTGTGTGTGTGTGTGTGTGTGTGTGTGCGTCAGTCTGTGTGCGTGTCAATAGGTTAACTCTAGAAGGCTCAGATATATTGTCTTGATATTTGGCATCCTAATAGCTTGTTCTGGACCGACAAGGACATTTAAAATATCTTTAAACTATAGCAAATCACGAACCGGTTGACAAATCATCGTAATTTTTTGTATGTAGGAAGTTTTAGTGATGTTGAACATAATCAGAATACCATTATGGAAATCATGCAGTCAGTAGATCCAATAATCTGTTGCGTTTAATTGTGGAAGTAAAGGACACAACTCCATGGTTTCATGATATGGCTATTCAAACTTGTAATTGAGAACGGGATGATCATCGGCAGATCTAAAGTAGGTAAACGAAGAATCGATGTGAAAACGCTTTAATTTTATAGTTGTAAGAAAGAATTGTATACTTTGTACTTTTAGTACATTGTAAAAATTATCAAACATTTAATACTCATTCAGAGCGTGACCTCATTTTATAGTTTATGTGAATACCCTGACTAACCTCTGTGAATACAACACTTACTGTCAGTAGGTGGAAAACATGACTGATATAATCAATGAGTATCTGATTCATGATTCATGAGTATCTCATTTCTATAATGATTGAAAAACATTTATAAGGTATGACCTCGTTGAACCCTATGTGACGTTTTGAAACAAAAACTCAATATTATGAAAGACCAATCTACATCAGACCTTTTGTCGGAGTATATCGACTATGCTTACCGCTGCAGCGCCTTCCAAAAATGTCGTTAGTTGTCCCGCCGCTTCAGTGCCTCCCACATGGGTGTCGAAAACAGCCTTGTCGATAACTTCTCCGGTCCGCTCATTTAGAATAAACGCCTGATGCCCTCTTCCATATGGATAAACTGATGGTGTCAAATATATCAGATTAATATCTCCTGTTAAATTTACTCAGTGCTCAAATGGATGAAAATAATGCATGTCAGTGAAAAGTACTTCGAACGGAGTTTTAAAACTGCAAAGTGGGTGTTGGTCGCCTTAGCAACACATGGATACACACTTTGAACCTTTGACATTTACTCATGTTTTTCATATTTCAACAAACAATAAGACAACATTACTGCTAACGTTACGGTACGTTTTTTACCCCTCCCCTGTAGCTTCTGTAGAAATAGAATGGTAGTTGCAATTTCACTTTGCTTGCCCATATTCGATCTAGACCTTTGCCTTCCGAAGACCTAATATCATAACAGTCTTCCCAGACCTTCTTAAGTTATGCAAAAACACAGACACTCAGAGACACACACAGACGGACCGAAAGTGCCTCATTTTTAAATGGAGGTAATTACACAAGAAAGTTCAAAGATCATTTATCAGAACACTCAGAAAGAAACATCTATCTTAACCATACTGAGTGTTGGAAAAAGAAAAAAAAACTTTAAGGTTCCATCAATAAAAAAACAAAAATGCACAATAATAACTTTTATATATTCTTACCATTTTGATGAATTCTGATTTCCTGTCCATTACTGACGATGTAGGACTTGTTTCTGAATTCGTCATCTAACGCACCGGGATCTTCATATCCAGTCGACTGAGCCCTCACGATAAAACCTCCTGTGCCTAAAATGTACTGTGTTAGAAGTTAGCGTAGTACACGTGTGCCCTCAATGAAAAACTATTGTTGATTAGATAAATTAGCACTTCTTTGTTGCCCAATTGGATGTTAAGTTATTTCTTTTGCCTTCAAGACAACAATGCAAGTAAATATCCATATCCCACTTTTACGAAGTTTTATTAATCAATCAGTTAAGACACCTTAACCAGTTGAAAGTGAACAGCATCAGCACAATAATTGTAAGGCAGCAAAATCAATATGTGTACACATTGAATAGAATAAAAGCAAATCATAGGCTAGAACATAGAAATGACGAAAATATATTAGCCAACGCTATGACTGAGGGAAACTCACCATGCAGTAGCAAACATACAAGGAAGTAGAAATTATTGTGTTGTCTAGATTTAGGGCGGGTGTTGCAACAGAATCACCTTTGATGTGACGTAATTCGAACTGAACGTGGATTTAATTTCGGGGTCATTTACGGTAAACCCGCTTCATACATGGGTACCGCCTAACAGAGAAAAGTCCACATTTTCACAAATATAGACCGACAGTACGTCTTTGCCGTAATTTAGAATTGGATATGTATCATAACGAAGCGACTGCCGTCTATTATTGGTTACCGTAATTCTTGTTTAACGTTTACGCGGATATCATGTATCCCATTAACCACGCGGCATGACGTGCGTGCAAACATTTTATTTCAATGACAACATAAACAAATTCAACTCCTCTTTAAAACGTCCTAAATTGAGAGCAAGGCAAAAATCTCAGTCTGTGTTGGGCGTTTTTCAAAGACGACAGCAATCTAAAATTATGGGTCTTGTAAGTTTAAAAAGTACATTTCTTGGCGCTTTTATTACTTTGCCAACAATTTGACTTGTTTTGACAATGTTTTATCATATGCAAAAACAGTGAATTTTCTGTTTGCTTTATATTATCGATTGTTCTAGAATAAGCATCCAAGGCGCTTGAAAAGTGATTGCAGCGAAAGCCTACCCGAAAGTACTTGGACTGCATTTTTGTGCAATTGGCTCCGAGAAAAAGGAAATGGGTTCAATAACGGTTCTAGACTGTTTATTTAATATGGAGGAAATGTAAACTTACCTTGTCCAGTCACTGATGCGGTCATCACTATCAGCACCAGAACCATCCATCTCCAGAACCCGGATGTACACGGACCCACCATCGTGTCAGCGTATACCACCTATATTCAAATTAGGAAATTTGTGGTATCAATAATATTATCAGTACAAACAAACACAAACTTATCCTGAAAACACTGGCACCAGCAAGAGGCTACTTCCATGATGCCTTGCATTTTTTTCTCGGACAGTGGCCCTGTTGAGCAGGTTCCTGAAAACACTGGCACCAGTAAGAGGCTACATTCTATGATGCCTTGCATTTTTTCTCGGAAGGTGGCGCTGTTGAGCAGGTTATGATTATTAGTGCACATAAATGCGCATGTACACATTTATCCCAACATGACCCCAGTTCCACAACACCCCGCATTTGTCTCCTAAAACTAAATCCAAATCCAGCCTGCCGTTTCATTTTGTTTGCACCCTAAACATCAAACAATCACGTTATTAAAATAATTAAGTTATTACTGGTATGCTGATACAAACAATTTGATGTGTTGTTGGAAAGTGTTGTAGGATTTTGTGCACCTGTACAGGAATGTCCTAGTAGCAGAGGAAGTTCTGGGTTTTGGTAGTCTAAAGCCTCCCGCCTGTGAAAGTCGTGTGTTGTGTTGATGTGTGTTGTTGATTCTACGTAGTTTGTTGTAAATAGTAACAGGTTTGCCAGTAGTCAGGAGTTTATGGAACGTGGAGAGTGTATGTATCCAATGTACCATTTTCATACCCTCCAGCATATTCTACTTCTTGTTCCCCTATCAGATCAGTTGCATTTTGCTTGAGTCCCCTCCCCCCATTGCACAGATGTTTTCACCAATTTAAGACACAAAGGATGTCTTCTTCTTTTTTCAGCCTGGGATTTAAGCAAATTTAAGCCATTCGCAGTGTAAAAGACGATAGGGTAGAGCAGATTATCACTGTACCAAGTAGTTATGCATCTTTTAAAAGTACTTCAGAAAATGTTTATTTATTACCTTCGCCAAGAAGGTTATGTTTTCAGTAGCGTTTGTCTGTTTGTCTGTTTGTCTGTCTGTCTGTCTGTTTGTGAACAGCATAACTCAAGAACCTTAATATGTATTGTCATGAAACTTGGTAGGTGGATAGGTCGTGATGAGACCTAGAAATGATTAGATTCTGGGCCCCCTGGCGGCTTTTGTTGGTACTGCAGCAGAACTTCCGGTTTTGATATCTCGCGATCTGGACATGCTAGGGTCACGAATTTTGGTTGGTAGATAGCTCTTGAAGTGGGGAAGAAGTGACATGAGTTTGGGCCTCCTAGCAGCTTGTTCTGGAACTGCAGGAGCATTTCTTGAAAAATCTCCGAAGGTTGATAACTCAAGAACCGGTTGACGGATTGTCATGATTTTTGGTATGTAGGTAGCTGAAGTGATACTTGACATAATCAGATGATAATTATGCAAATCAGGAGCTAATTTGCATAATTAATGAGGACATTCTATAAATCTGCTTCGTTCGATTATAGGACTTTGAAACACTTGTGACATGTAATTGAGAACTAGAAAAACATCTGAGGATATAGATTATGTAAATGAAGACCTAATTTACATAATTAATGGAAAATTGTTATAATTTCATAGTTGTAATTGCTGGGAATTTCATACTTGCCGTATTTGGAAGTTAAGTGAAGGTGAACATCAATGAAGATAATTTATTCACATTATGAACTCATTTGCATAATTTATGAGGAAGTGCTAGAATAGCCTATTTTGTTAAGATAAGGCTGCCATTGGGTAGAGAATATGATCAACTGATGTAATCCATGCAAATGACGCTCTTATTTGCGAAATCAATTATATAATAAAATTGTATAATTCGTCAACCGCAAGGGTTAACATCATCTGGCGAAGGTATGAGATCGTGGAACTCTTGTTTATTTATTTATTCATTTCGCTTACAAAGAAGCCAGGGTGTCCCAACTAGTCAAAGACTATTACTAAGGATATGTTGATTTGATTATATGGATGGCATCCTCCAAAACCCCAAAACTGATGCGCGCGTGCGAATAAAAAAAAGTTTTGCAAAAAAAAAGTTCTTTTCATTATGAAATCTACGTGGTCATGAGGGTTAAGCAAATGGCACAGAATATGGTTTGGCGAATAATCTAGTCTTCAAGTTCATTTCTTTACAATTTCGTCTTTTTTTCGTTTGATTTTGGCATTCTACGACATTGGTATAGTTTTTATTAAATTTTTTGTAACTTATGGTATATTTTTGCTCATTTTGCAACTGTTCTGTATGATTTACAGTATGGTTGAAAACTTTTTTTTTCGAAACGGCCGAAAATTCATGCGCGCGCGGATGTCATCCATATAATCAAATCAACATGGCCTAAGGGACACCCTGGGGGAAAGATGAAAATTATTAGACATACATAGAATGCATATTACAATTTACAAAATACATGCTTAGTGAAATATACAATTATGTACAATGGTTAATAGTATACATACATTTTAAAAATACAATAATAGAGTCTTGGTATATACATGATTGCCGAGATACAAAAATGCAATATGTATTATTATGTATATATCTATAAGGGTTTGATACAAATTTAATTTAATTAAGCAGAATATGGATCCCCAAGGGATTTCCATACTTAAGCTTTAAAAGAAGAGAGTGTAGGTGCTGATTGTATGTTAATTGGGAGGGAGTTCCATAAAAGGGTGGCTCTGTGGAGGAAGGTGTTCTGTGTTCTACAACTTTTGGGGATTTGTATACAAAGGTTGTTTCCGTTACTGAGGGGGTATCTAGAATGTATTGCGGATGTCCTGGTAATAGGTGGTTACTGTGTGGAACTTACGAAAACTAAGTGAAGGGAGCGCTAACTGAGAGTAGAGAGATTGGTGGGAGGGGTAAGGAATCCCGTGGTGTCCACTTATCAATCTGCCTGATCGGTATTGAACCGATTGGACAGACCTTTGGTCACGGTTAGTCAGACCATCCCAAACGATGTCAGCATATTCTAAGACTGGTCTGACCAAGATTTTGTACAGAAAATGTTACGATGCGAAGGAACTGAAAATGGGTGATCGGTGGCATTTTGCTTGAGTTCCTCCCGCCCATTGATCATGAACAGCTGTTTCGCCCCTGTGAGGTGAAGGCTATGTTCCTTATGCCCTTATGGCACATTTTCCAGACCTCTAAACACACAAAGTGTCGTCCCGTAATGGACCTTATTACAACTCGTTTCCTTGTCGCGTTTCCTTGTAATACCTGGCACCTGCACAGACTCCGGAACTAAAGATTAGTGGGTCTTTACAGCGATTCTCTGAAGAGGAAGCAATTGGTGGCTTAGATTGGCATTACGTCAGACTCTAATGTTGATATTTACTGTATGAACTGGTTTCCCGATATCTCGAATTCACTATGTTTCACCTCATATGTTCGGAACGGGAAGAAACATACACCTGTCTGCAAACGACGAGCCTAAAATGTTAGCTATGACGGATTTGAGATTGGCCAGGTATCTTTAAATTTACGACGTAATGATTAGTCACGGTGAATTGACGATTGTTGTTGGTCAATGCGGTATGGTATGAGTAGAGCGTAATCGGCCAATTAGCCGGCGAAGGCAAAGTCCCGTCGTATACAGGCTTAATCCCAAGAAGATCATACGGCGACGAATTCAAAGGCAGTATTCAATGGGCAGACTCCAGAGGATTGTCCATTGTCCACCGATTGCCCATGGGCACTGCCTTGCCATTGTATAATCTGCTTGGAGATTAGACAGGCTAGCTCTTTGGATCCAGGGTTAACAAGTTCCCAAGGTTTAAAAATGTTGATTTTCTGCCTTCTAGCAGAGAATTATTACTAATTGTCAGCTAGAAGGAACTGAATTATGATTAGAACAGATTTATAATGAGTTTAAGAAAATTCCTAACATATATCTCCTGCACAATATTTTGTGCCCATAGCAAATGATTTTCATGTTTGAGATAGCCTAAAGTGACTGCAAGCCTTATATTGCGTCAGTTGTACTAAAGCAATAAGAATATCATGAACTTTCAAACATTCTCACCAGGAGGACGCTTTGTTCAAAAAGAAAAAAAAAACGTTAGCCAGACAAATAGAAGTTTGAAACAAAGTTCTGCCTGAATTACAAACTTACAGTGTCTTGATCGGTTTTCTAACTGGTGCCTTGATTCGTGAGCGCCAAACGAACTGAAAGGAAAATCTGCTCAAGGACACTGTCCGCTTGTCTGTATTTTACCCCTTCCCTGTCAAACAAGAACGCTGTCACTTATTAGGCTACGAGAACACAACTTTGTACATAACATCCGAACGCGAAACCTTCTGGCGAGTTTCTTCCACGAAATTCAATTTTGAATTTTCATAGAGATCCTCGACGATACATGGCAAACTAATAATGTATGCACCTAAACTACAGCTAGCCTCGATTTGACTTTGAATGAGAAAGTAAGATTACAGTGCGTACACAGGGTATAAAGGTTACTAAGTTTGTTTTCATTCATTTATTCTTAACAATAAAGAATGTAGCGCTCGTGTCTGAAGCCTATGATTAAATTTGAAAAGGTCATTCCTTTGACAAAAGTCCATCGAGGTGCCCACGGAAATATCAGGTTCTAATAATCTTCCTTAAGTGAGTGTTAAATCTCAGGCTTTGACCGTAAAATCAATTAAAAAGTTCCATGTCTGAAGCGTGTCGTAATTATTGGGCATTACTAGCGGGGTGGCCATATACGGCGTCGGAGTTGTCACCGTATTGTCAAAACCACGCTTCTTCAAGTCAAACGTCACGAAAAAAATATGATCTCATGGATACGTTCTACACTGGACAGAGGGGCTTTGACCGCGACACTGGCAAGAAATCTCGACGTCTTAAACGGAAAGATATGACAAGCTGTGCGGTGGGGCGGTGAAGCGTGTGATTAAAACAACAGGTAAACACAGGGTTGCCTTAAGCTTCGGCAAAACATTATAGAAACGTATAGCACAGACTTGGTAAGAAACCTTTACTTGGACCTCTAAATTAGCAGACACAGCAATAATCCCTGATCTGCTATAC